CATAAGGTGTGCATTTTCCTTCCCGCTTCACCAATGATCACGTTGTGAGCAAATAAATTTAAGGAAACCAGGGTACTTGCAATTAATAGATATAGTCTGCAGGTGGGTTGTAGAATTCTAACAAAGAACTGCGGCTTCTTTATGGATTAGCTGCGCAGCATAATAAATCTTGGTACATAATATTGTTAAGCACACCTGGATTATACCCGCTTGGTTGTTTGCTAAGTTGCTGGAAACTGATTCGCATCAGTTACTGGTTGCATTCGAATAGGCTTACATCATACCATGTATACACTAGCTACTTACACAAAAGTGAGTCAAAACATATTTTTATAGAATGGATCTCACCATACAGCAGTTAAATCTTTTAACAAAAATGACAAAACTTTGATGACTAGGAATTCAGCTTCAATCCGTCAATATCAGTGGTTATTATTCCATTCAGCGCAAAGTAAAGCAATAATGATGACTTTCACATTTACCTAATAAAACGTAATGTTCTGATATGTGATTCATAAATGATTACAATTATCTAATCATCAAACCATATGCTGTTTGATTCAGGTAACTACAAGTGGTAGGCATCATATGTAATCAGAAATTAGGACCCAATTAATATTAGGGTATCTTCCTACTGAATATTCCCACATCTAGTGGGCATCACAGCAATGAAGATGCCACTTCGCATGGTGTTGAAGCTTATGCAATAATTTAATCAGTATGAGCGAAAGGCACAACAGATGTGCAACCAAACCGACCCCTCACTTTGTAAATTAGTTGAAGTTTAAAATTACTATTAAAGCCAAAACTGGATAAACTGGTTAAATTAAAATTTGTCTCAGGTATGCCCTTTGCCAACCAGTTTTTCCCCATATCCACTAAATTATCTCATACATAATGGCCAGTTGTCTCGTCAGTTATATCATTTGATATACTTCAAAATAGGATTCCACATAAAGTGCTTAAATATATCTGCAAAACCGAACCTGATCATATTTCTATGATTGAAGCTATTAACCTATGGACGGCGCTCAGTAAGCCATATACGTCAAATCCATAGGGACAGATGTACCATATAGTTCCGAACAGGTGGTTTAAAAAATTGATGGATTTTCCAAAAACAAATTCCTAACTCTGTGTAATTTCGCGCGTTCGCTCTGAGAACCATCCATAAATTGGAGGCGTTAGATTAATGACTGAACGCGCTAAATCAAGTGAAAGGTTCATTAAGAACATTATACCTTAAATACATGAACCATACGGTCAATACGATGATACAGTATAAAAGTTTCAGCAGGCATTCGTCGTAAATGGTTTAAGCGTGTAAAAGTGGACCAAAAAGACACACAATACATACAACTTCAAGAGTATTACAGTAGCACAGGTGTGAGATTTGTGCCAAGAATTTACCAATGTTATGAGACGGCCCACTCTTTGTTCTTTACTAATGTCATCATCCAATGTATATGGCAATATTATACAATCAAAATGTTGTATAATATCATCAAGCCATTTGGTGATTAGGGTGACCGTGGGAGCATAACATATTTGTGCTAACACAGAGTTCCAAAATCGTGACAACTAAAGTAAGAAATATGTTTGGTATCTTTCCATTCGGCTGTATACCGTGGCCAAATTCAGTGGATAACAAGGGATATGAATAATGACTTAGGCTCAAATGATGGTGAAAGTGTATTTGGGATTCTGTTACCTGATGCACAATCAGGTGATCACACTATATTCTCAGATAACTTGAGTAGGCAGAAAAGATTTGACAGAATTTGACGTACTTTGACTGCATGATTTATGTCGTTTCGAGCTCGGAGGGGTAGCACTTCAGCCACCCTTGGATAGCGTATTTTGTGTGCTGCCACACGTAAGCGCAATTATTGACGAGTCAAACTTGCCGAACGCCTTACAAAAGGGATCGATGTATCGATTTACCTTTTCATTCTGTCTGGGATTCCCAAAGACATATTGATCCTGCCCTCAGAGAAAGCATTCATGGGAAGCGCTCTATAGAATTTGCGACTCTAGCCGATAATCATGGGTACTATGATGACGCAAGCTCGCGAAATGTAATGGTGAAGTTGAAGTGGAGCATGTTCCCTTGGGACCATGTGTGTCTACACAGATTCCTTTTTACGACAATGTAATTCTCCATGGTAGTGATAACAGCAATATATACGGATCATCAGCGAATAGTATACAATTTGTAAAAAGCAAACTCGGCAGGGCCAAACTATCGAACTTTGATGTGCGCGACACTGCACTTCAATTAAGTAGGTGAAACTGTTAAACACGCTTGTGTTCATATAAGTTTTGAAGAGCATGCCATATATCCTGCTTAGATAGCGATATTGGATTATACAGTTCGGAAGTATGTAAATTGGAATGCAATGAACCAGGTTGTTGATTGCCTTTGAGGAATCTAAATAGGCTGCGCTACCCCTACATCAGCATCCACAGATTCCGCCCGAGATTGCACGTGCCATCAACAGGTTAAAAGTCTAGTACCCGATCAGCCATTTCTGTGGTGATTTTCGGTGACAGTTTTGTTACTCTCCTCGTACCCCTTAAGGTCCTCAGATACAATGGGCTCCGTAATATTGGGGAACGCTGAAACGAGCGTTTTCAGGTGCAATTTAGTCGTTCTTGACATCTGCCGCATTGGTAGATACGAGTACTGATCTCTTGCTCCCAAATCATGGGGACATGCAACACGTTGTTATACGCTGAAAGAGTAGTGTTAACATTTCAGCTGAAATCATGTAGCAACTTTCAACACCTACTAGCGAATGCCATCTGCACCCATGGAGCTGTACTCGAGCAAGGATATCAGCCGTCCCAGTATAAAGTGGTTACAAAGATTATGCGGTTGAGCCCTCATGGCGGCACAATGTGTTTAGACAGGATTTATGCTAGCAACTCTTGTACATTATAGCTACATTATTTTCCAGGTACTTTAGCAAACTTCTGTGCTGTTTTCGCCAGCCGTCTGATGAGTGCAAAAGAAGAATTCCGTGTCGGAAATTAGCAAATTGGTTTACTCTGTACAGCTGTTTGGTCTTAAAGCAAAATCTTATACCAAGATTTTGTTGCTAATTTATTTTATCCCCATGAACTTGTGAGATACAGCTGCTCCTCCATTTTTATAGACGCCTTTGGTGTCCTTGTTCATTCAGTCTGTGTGGAAGAGTTAAGCCGGGTCTATTAAAAACATGCAATCATGAGACCTGTTCATTAGTAACGACTTCATCCTTTTGGAGCGGTAGATTTTAGTTAAGGTTGTGTATAGCACTAGCCTGTTAAATCTGACGGAAAATTTCCTGAGATAACCGCAAGGACCGTTTTTGCTAAAAAAGTAACCAGAATTTTGCATTACTGAAGTCGGACAGTTTATCCTAGATGGTTACTGCGTGCGATTCCTCTGTACGTTTTATATGCTATTCTGCATGGATCATAAAGTCGAACAAAAGTGTCACGTGTTGACTGTGGTGCAAATAATGGCACGTTATTACCATGTCGAACATGAGTTTCGTTCTGTTTAAGACAAAGTCCAGGGTGGCCGGTTTGTATCCTGTCATGGAACGGGTACTGTAAATGACATGTTTCCGTAGAAATATTCTGGCGTCTAGGTTTGTTTGTTTCACCTGAAATTAACGACATATTTATAGATAATATGTACTGTCATAAGATTATAAATGGTATGGGTTTCCTTGTAAAATCTAAAGAGAAATTAAAACAAAAGGTCATGCATTAGAACCTAGGCAACTCATTACTTGTATATTTATCTTTAATCATGACCACGCTTGCGAACGTTTGCTTGCCATACACACTCGATTTGTAATAGCAAGTTTATCCACCCTTATTGAGAGACACTGCCTGAAAGCCAGTAGCTTACTGAAAAATCATCTTGCGGTCCAAGTTAATGTCCACAGTATGGACGTTTCTTTCCACATGCTTCTAAAATTAAGCTAGATAAAATCGCTGCGAGGTTTAGGCGTAATTTAAAAGATTATACATATATATATATATGTAAACATGTACATATATGGTTTCATCGGATTTATAATCCCTTCTAACGATGTTGCAATTGAACATAGAATTATTTCATTATCTTTAACGGCTTTTGCAAAGTACGCTCGCTTAATGCTTATTGCCTTTGCATGTGACCGGGTAGGTGATGATCCCAAAGTAAATTAAGCAGGTACCAACTGGTTTCGGTCGTGCTGGTTGATAGTATATTTAATGATCCGTTCCCTGCTAAGGTTGATAAGCAATATGGGGCACAATTATCGCAACGTTAGAAATTACCAAATGGGCCTTTCCCTAAATATTTGTAGTTGGAGGGTTAATAAGCTAACGGAGATTGTAATCAGGCACATCTATCTATGCATTACGGAGTTATCTCGCTATTTGCACAATTACAGCAGTTGTACCACGTCAGGGCGGTTAACTAGAACGACCACTTTGTAGACATTGGCACAAAATAGACCGATTCTACCTTTCCTCTATTTCCCCAGCAAACATCTGTTCTCTACGATGCTATTCGGTACTGTTAATTTAATAGTTGTTTTCTTCTAATGTAATAAGTAGCCAAAACGGCGTTTACAACAATGCACACTAATCTTCATCCTGATACTGTGTGCAAGTCACAGCGTCAACGCCTCTCATATGAATGCAAACTTTTGCTCTGTAGGTAAATGTCTAAATCGTGATGTCATGCCTCCTGGGAAGCGAAGACATAAGGCCGTTCTATATTGTGCTACTAATGCCTAACGCAGCTAAACAATCCATTGTAATACGCACCCGACTTTAGAAAACGAGCAAACGACAAATTCCGCGGACTATTGTAAAGCACTTGTGCATATACTAGATTTTGGCCATTCAGAAAGTAGACTATTAAAACAATTTCTTACTAACTTCTTGACTGCTGTTGTACATACGATTTTCGCTAACCCCTTGCAACTTTTATTTTGTTCACTCGTGAATTACAGGTTGTTAAACTCAAGCAAGTTGAACATACGCTCAACGAAAAGAACATCTTGCAGGCGATCAACTTTCCCTTCTTGGTGAAAATGGAATTCAGTTTCAAGGCAAGTAAAGTTCGTAAGCTTGATGTGCATGTACTTAAAGGTTACGTATTTTTCTTTTTCCAACATGCTATGAACCTAATTTGAAGTTGGTTTATAGACTTAAATTATCAAAATATTTTTCCATAGTATTTTATGAATCTGGGTCATTCCGATTCTCGTTCAAAGGAAATTGGTGACCATTGACATGTTTTCAATCTTGGTGAAATGAGGTGTAAGTGATCGATGGGATTTCACAAAATGTTAACAAATACTAAATCATTTCTCATACACAACTGACCTTTTTGTTGAACATACTCGCATTTCGGAATGCTAGTTAATGGATTCCAGTAGGGATTGACATGTTCTGTAGAATTGTTAAGCAAATGTATGGACCCAATTAAAGCTTTTAATAAATGAGGCATATGATTTTAATCAGCGCATTGTTACCTGTGGATATATGTATTCGTGCACCGTTGACAATTTGTTGCGTAACATGCAACGTTCCCGCAACCAATGTTGCTATTGATCGATAGTGTAACACTTTTGACTGTTTGCGTAAGTGCAACAAAACATGCTTAGGTAGAAAGCATGTGCTGGTGGCAGGAACCAAATTTTGACGGCAAGTAACTTTCCAAGTGCAATGTATTTTACATTATCCTTGAAGTTGCGATCAAGGGTAACGGAAGATTTACATTTAGACACCCACATTAGATCAGCAGTTGTTATACCTTGTCTAAAAATGGAAATATGTTATTTTATGAAAACACCTGCGTACGTGTTCAACAAATCCATATGCGAAAAATATCGAAACCGGTAATTCAAATATAACTACTGAATTTTTACAGAAACGTTGTTCGGTACAGGTAGGTTATAGTATATTGGTCTAACAAATCAAAACAAATAGTAATGTAGAAGTCCATTTATCTAAAGAAAATTATTGTTCACGTAAGGATGTTTTAAGTCATCCAATTAGTATGAACTTGGTCAAAACACTAGTACATAACTCAAAGTGCACATGTTGTACACCGTTTTTGTATTCATTTCAATAATGCTTCTTTGTAACAGCAACTAAATCCTTTACCTTTTAAATGAGAACTATAAAACATATCCTTCTAAAAAAACGAAAACAATGTGTTGTAGCACAATTAAAATTAACAAAGCCAAATGGGGCATTTTGAGGACTGTTGTTTCTGCATTGCACTTTCGTGAAGCACCGGAAGAGGAGCTTCAGGAAATGTCATGCAAACTGCTAATATTCTACGAACCCTAATTACTAAAGGCAGGTTAATTATGTGATCAGCCACTTATACGTTCTCACTAACAAGTTCTTAGACTAATGTAGTAAAACTGCCGGCAGCAAGGTTATGCGCAAGTTCTTCTAAACAACGAAAAATTAAAAAGCGGTAAGTAAAACTCATTAGCTATTATTATACCATGTATGCATTTAAGTTGAGTTTTTGTTGCGTTGTTGCACATACGCCAATGAGGTTTGACTTATGCATGTTTGTAGACACGAGTCGGTAATTGGCTATTCATCATGTATACAAACGAGTTGGCTTTCTCTTCCACGCTGCAAAATTAACCAACTGGACCTCATATATATATATATATATATCTGTTAAACCATCGAGCAATTAAGCAAACAAGCGTCTGCTTCGCTTTACATCAATTTTATTCTAATACTTGGGATAAAACTCTACCGACAAAATAAGATTAATCAGTGTGACACACAGGATAATTGTATTAAACTGCTGGGTGTTATGTATGTTGTTGTTGTTCTTTCTAGTGTTTTTAACTTGAGATAAATGGCTCCCGCTCTATCCGTCAGATTCCTCACCCATGGATATACGGTTTAACAACGGAGATAAAAATGTGTGAATATGATAGATGAAGAACGTTGCAGAATTAAAGTAAAATATACTAATTTATCATCAGTTGTTATGGGGCTTGGGTGTCTTAAGCACGAATTAATTGCAAAGTTGATCGTATGCTGCACTGTAATGTTAAGATAAACACATTGCAGTTATAAGTGACGACGAAGACTAAAAAATAAGACCGGAATTTCTTGGTGGGATATTTAGTGTTTTTGAGTATGCCTTGCATCTTCTGATATATAACGTTGTCAAAGAAAACTATAGGTCACTAAGGAAGGTTAAATTTAGAGAAAATGTTCGCCTGCTTCACGGTGAGGCCGGATGTATACACCATACCTGACTAGGCGCGGATCTTACAAACCATACATCTGCATTTTCTTTATTAAACAAATTTGAAATCATAGAAAGGCAATAACGTGAGATGAAAGGGTTTTACTGGTGTCTATCAGACAAATCTCACAATGTTGCCAAGTTTTACCGTGATATGGTAAGATTTCTCTCGAGGTATGCATGTTAAAGAAAGGTGTCGTACTTCAAAACAGTTGCTGGATGAATCTACTCAATCAGACATCAAAACCAATGGGTGGGATTAGGATAGAAATGTGGAAACGCTGTCCCGTCTGCACTGTTAGCTGTGCTTTTTATGCGTCGGTAATAGGTTGTGAAGTTAGTAGACTAAAAGATGATGCAGTAAAACTGTTTTCATGAATACACCGTCAGGTACCTACAATATATACGATGACCTGAATGAAGGAATGAGAGCAAACTGATTATTGGCGAAAATAAATTTAATGATGGGAGGCTAAAAAAACACAAAAATAACGAATCATATTTTTAATAACAAATTTCAGGTTGTTCTTCATATTTCCTTGTACGTGGCAACATCCAACTAATGATATATGTCGCTGTTTTTGATATTATATTCATATTCATTTAACATTTTATGTTGCAGACATTTGAGCAACCTTTGAAATCAGTTTCGGCGCACTTATTACCAAATCACTCTTTTATATTATAAATTAGCTATCTATTGAAATCTGGAATTTACGCATTGTTATATAGCATAAGAAGATAAGTAGAAGGCTTCAAATTAAGTGATGTCCTTGTCTACCTAGTCAAAACTGAAGTATGTATTGCATTACGCACAAAGTTTTATTTAAGCATGGGATTTCAAATTTTTGCAAATACTTATTAATGGTTTCTAAACTAACAGTGCTTATGTATGTAGAGTACCATGTGTAATTGCATGTTATACACACCTCGGTCTTCTATAAAATGTTAATTCCCTTTGGATTATATTTATGTGGATAAATATTTTTGATTCTGCCACCACGTTCCTTGAAGTAGTCTACTGCAATGTAACTAATTTTAGCTACATAGGGGCAAGTTACTTCCTTGTTCTTAATTTTAAATAAAAGAAATAAGTATAGTTTTTATAGTCTAAATGTCCAGGTAGCCAGCAAATTTATATGAGGAACAATGAGTTACACCTTGTAGAATATCTTAGCTAATCCGACAGGTTGGGGAGTATTACGATTCTAATGCCGAAGCTAACAACGAATGAGAAAATGAAAGTTTACTTGGATAATTAAAATGTTTAAAGTAACGCTGAAGTAGGTTTCATCACGTTTATCATATGAAGAAGACTGGTGTAAACGCCATTTTCCATCGCTTTATTTTGTCTTTAAATCGAGAAGAACTATTTCAACTTCATTATCTCGGAATATGCTTCGAACCGACTGGAATTTCATGATTTCAGAAGGGTTGAATACAAATTGGTTTTTGTAGGGTTTTATTGTGGCAACGTTTCGCGCCTTGTGTCAAGAGCGAAATGTTGCCACAATATAGCCCTACCAAAACCTATTTGTATTCAAACCTTCTGAAAATATTTCAATCTATTTTAAACATAAAGTGTTTGCAGTAATGTTGCTTTTTATAGTGAACCTATCACTCGCAGATTCTAGTAGCCATACACTAAGGAAGGTTTAAACCATCACTAATTTGTTCGATCCATAGAAGTCCATTTTGAATGGCGTAAGTCACTAGAGGCATCAGGTATCCGTTCAGTATGCGCTGATACATAGAATGTTCAGACTTCCAGAAGTGCATTCTTTGCAGTAGGTGGAATATGTTTCATCTTATTTATCTGAATTAAAGTCTAACGGCAAGGCATTGTTTCAGTTTGACAAACGAAAATAGGGTTTGATGTGACCAGGATAGAAGCTACTTTATCCGCCGATAAAACATTACGAAACATTCTTTAGTGAGCGGAAAGTAAGAGCTTTAATATTTTGTGTGGATAAAGATCACAGTAATATAAATGCAACATTAACATTTGCCCATCATTATGTAGATTGGGTCACTAGAGATTGCATTCGTTTAAAGCAGACTGTAGCCCGCCTGACCTGCTTGTTTTTTTCCTTAATCTAGTAGGCTAAACTAGGCTGAATACAGGTTCATCACATTTAAATTTAAAAGACCCGATCAACAGCTTTATATAAATAAATCATATGGTTAACATGAGCATTTTAAAAGATGATTCCCAGCTTCTTATGCCAGATAGCAAAGCTGACAATAGGTGGAGAAACTATTCTACAGAAAGAAAACCTACGTTTCACTAAATACCTTCATATTACTCTAACTATGCTATTAAAGATTTTAAGGGATAATACAAGTTTGGCAAATGGACATTATATACGCAAGGGCCGTAATATGCTAATATTTTGGAGCAAAACTAGGGCAACTTAATTTCCATTGCAGTGAAATTTTTCCTTACATATTGAGCAGGTGAAAGAAAGAAAAATAAGGACGTCAGCTTGACCAGGTATCAATAAGGCTGGAGGAATATTGTCCAAGGAAAATTGCTAGGTGGCCGAAACGGATTAGGCTACTTTCGAAAACTACTAGCACCAAGCGCAGCAATTTCGAGTGAACATCATCATTATTAATTTCATTATTTGAGCAAGTAGAGCGTAATGATAATTAACGCAAGTAACTGGAACTGCACTAATAAATGCAACCGACACACAATAATAAACTAATGAGTGAGGTTAGACTTTGGTTAACTTCGTTTTACTCGCTTGTCTTATACTGGGTACGCCATATCAGGGACTTATACAAACTTACAGGATGCAGGTGCATATTTATTAAATAATAATGCATTCCATATTAAAGGGTTTTCATAAACGGGAGGACTGTTTAATCTTGACCAGGAACAGGTGCTATATTGCG